TCACAATAAATATTGAATAAAAAGCCTGCTCTAAAATACCCCATATAAAACCCCTAGCAAAGCCCAATCAAAACTACGCCAGGCCGGCCGCATGGAATAGATGGGTTTTCAAGGCTCGGCGGAAGAGGCGCAGGTCCGTAGTTGTACGTAGGTCGGGGGGTAGGTCATTCCAGAGGGCAGGAGCTGCCACAGAGAAGGCATCTATTTCATCAGCTGTTGCCTATGGTGTCACATTAGGGATGCATTTCAACACCCTTAATAAACCAAATAAGAGTAAAAGCCAATTTCATTCATTTATTCCCTCATCTAATAACCATCCTTTCCCATAAGCAATTGACATATGCTTTCTTTGCTTAGATAATTCCCAGGATATAGATACAGTTGAATGAATTTCAGCCATTTCGTACAACCACAAAATAGCTCAACAAGTCCAATGAAAGAGCACGCTGGATGTGGTCTGCTCACTCATTCCCAACCATTAACAGATGTGAGTGAGCTTTTGCTGGCATCTGGTATTCTATTGTAACCTTTTGCTTGCTCAAGTTATTTCCTCTTTGTTAGCATCTAAAATAATTCTCAGAAAAAATCCTAAATTTAGACAATGGTATTAATTTATGCCATCTTGTCCCCTCATCCCTTAGGCTACATAACTGTTTTACTGCTATCCATAAGAAATTGCAGAGAAAGGAGCTAATATTTCAAGCTATTTCTAGATATTTTGAACTGACTTTTACTTAATACAGTACAGTGATACATAATCTATTCGAGAGAAAAAAATGAACTCAGATTTAGCTTAGTAGATTTTTCTAGACAATTTGTGACAATTTGACTTCCCAACATGATGCTCAAAGCTAACCCCAGTCCAATGCTCTTTCTGACTTTTTACATTTTAAAGAATTCTTTTAATTTCTTTTATAGGAAACTGGCATGCTGCCAGTATAATTTTCATATCTAGGAATGCTTCTGGGCCCAAACGAGCTTCAAAATATTTTTTTTTTTTTTTACAGAATAAAAATAATGAGTAGCAGCATTTGGGTGCTTAAATTGGAAGTACGTTCTCTGGCATGGGAAAAAGGACAAAGATAAACAAATTTATTAAATGTTGATTTCTAATCTATCATGGCAGTAATTTTTGGAATGAGTAAGTCTTAACACTGCAGCTCCAAATACTGGGGAATCCCTGAAGAATTTTACATCATTTCAGGATAAAATTCAACTTGTAAAAGAATCATCTTTGATTATTGCGCCAGTATTATCTGTGGTGATGTATTAAACAGAACTTGCAACAGTATAAAAACTGTTTGATCTGGTAATTTAAAATTGTCATTTTTTTCTTTAAATTTTCCTTTAGGAAGCGCTGCCCTTGCAGGCGTTTCAGGGAATCTATCTGTATAAACATTATAAAGCTAAATGCATACTGCGGTCTTCACTGTTCATGTGTGCAAAGATCTATATAAATCTTCTTAGAATATGCACTCATTTCATATTTTCTTTTTTCATAGATTGAAGAAAGGTTGCATGTGAAACAACGTTAAGAAAAGGTGTTGACTTTCAAAATACCATCATCATCATATTCTAAAAGAAAAGTTTTCCACCCCATCTAAGAGTCACTTAGGTGAGATAGGTGGCTGTACAAACTGAATATTTTTTTTAAAAAAAAACCCTCCTATTCTACAGTCATACTTTTCTATAGCTTTCTTTCTTTCTTGTCTTCCACATCTGATGGATGCAGCAAGAACCTATTGTGTTATCTTATACTGAAGTATGTCTTGAGGGTCTTCTAAATAAATATTTGTATCTGGGTCACCCCTAATTATCCATCCTTCCTCACAGCTTTCTTAATGCCACAGAACTGACCTTTGACTGCCCTGTGCAGATAATATTCCTATCTTGCTGGAACACTTGGAACCCAATTCAGTCTGAGGCACACTTAAATGGCTCTATTTTCCTTAGCTTTGTACTGAATGGCTGCAGGCAATTCTAATTTTGTAAGCTGTCCAAAGTCAGTTGGCTGAGATGGATGGCTATAGAAATCGAATAAATTAATAAATTTTAAGGATTGAAAAAAAATCAGCCAGTTTCATCTAAAAGTTAAAACATTGGACCAGGAGTGAGGAAACCCTTGCATGGAAGCTAGCTAGTTGACTTTGGACTGATCATTCTCTCTCAGTTCTAGGAAGAAGGCAATGGCAAATCATTCTGAAAATCTTGCCAAAAAAACTGCATGGAGTTGTCCATGAAGTAGAATCTGACTCAAAGGATCCCCCCATCCTGCTCTCCCAAAACAGCAGAGATTTGATCAGAAGACAAGCAATGTCTATTCAGGGATCTGAAAAAGGTTTCCAATTTTATAACCCTTACTGTTCATATAATATTTTACCAGAAGGATTCCATTTCATAACACTTCTGTGTGGAATTATTTATTTCTTCCAGGAGTTCAAGACAACAGGCACAGAATTCTTCCTCTACCTTATACTCATATCAACCTGTTTGGGGTGCACTGAACTGAGAGATAGTAATGGTGCTAAGTAAGCAAATAAACCTCCATGGCTGTTGGTGGTTCTGAACGAGGGCTTCCACAGTCCTGCTTTGGCAGCACCTTGGCTGTGGCTATGTTGTTCTTTATACTTTCCTTGAACAGAACACTGAGGCATGGTTGAACGATTATCCTCAAATGACTAACTCCCTCTGCCAGAATTACAGATTCACTGATGTATGCTTTAAATGCATATATGTTTTCTCCAGGATATTCTACAGAGCAGAAAAGAAGACTAATGGGATGAACTTTGGATGACCTTACCTGAGTAGCAACGGGATTGTTCACTGACCCTTTACAGCTTCCAATCCCAGCTAGAGAATTTCCTGCTGTATCCTGGCCCTGAGATTCCAAACAATTTGCTCCTTGCTTGATGATCCCTGGGATCAGCTCCTTTTCTGGGACTCTGAGTGATTAGAGAGATCATCAAACACAAAAGGAGAAATTATAAACATCTTGTTTGTTACATACTCTATACCCCCATCAAATCAATAAATCAGCCATTCCAGACAAGTAGGTTGGGCAATTAGGCAGTTCCCAAAAAGAGGATACGCGTCACTAAAAATACCAGTGAAGAACAATGGCCTGCATGACCTTTGTAATGCATATAGTAATTTATAGGTAGAGATGATAATTTAAAACTAATGACTGTAATATAAATATTATATAAATGTTATTTATAAAAATAAAACTCATTACTGAAATTTAAATATTATCTCTTCCTCTCTCTCTGATCCTTCATCCTAGAATGGAAATTCAATATATTGCATGAGGAAGATGGTGTCCAAGCAACCAGAGTGCCTTCTTAGTCTGCTGCCCACATGCTGAACATTCATGAGAAATTTTCTCTTCAGTTGGACTTCTTTATCTTAAAGTGGACATGTATCGAACAAATCTTCAAATAAAGGGCCATAAATAGGAACCATGATAATCCTAATTATAAAAGGTAACTTCTGTCACATGCTCTCCCTTAAATGCATTCAGTGACAGATTCCTAGAAATGTTTTATATCACATTTTTTTTGACATTGCACAAATTTACCACGAGCAAATCTTCACAGACTTTTTCACCTCCATATATATGTCAGAGGGTTTGACAAACTATTTCTAATAACAAAGAATATTCTATAAAACATTGTTAGACCTATTTTTCAGGAAGTAGTATTTCTTCTTCCATTTGTGTGTGTGTGTGTGTGTGTGTGTGTGTCGTGTGTGCATGCGTGCATGCATACAAAGTGTACAAGGAGGGGTAGCAACTCTGGTTGAGGAGCCTGCTATTCTCTTTTTAGGACTGATTGGTTATCTTTGGTCCTCACCTAGCACTCAGCTCTCACCTGTGACTCCAAGTAGCTATATCACATGCAGCAACCACAGATAAACTGCACAACAGCCTGCTTTCTACAAATCCAAAGGATTACCAGATACACACACAGAGAGACACAGAGCTGGAATATACATTCATCTCATATATCATTATTATTTTCTACTCTTTCATTCTTTGCTTAAGTGGGTTATGTATATTTCAAACCTGTTTTTTAATTTGCCTTTATCTCACCAAAAATATAACTGTTTTTGAAGATCTTATACTTCTTTTGCTGCATGCAACCTGAGGTCAGTCCTCACTGCGCTGTCTACCAATTAGTTTTCCCCATATAAACTCCTTTTTTCAGAGTTCAAAGAAACCAAACATAGAAAAGACATAGGTCAGATAGAGTATAATTGGAAGAAATATTTTAAAAATAAATTCCCACTGTAACAGCCACATTAAGAAAATAGTTGATGCTTTCTTATTCCACAGTGGCAAAACACATATCATGCAGTTTTGCTGAGAGATAAAGAATGACTCACTTGAGTTCTGGATAGACATTCTCCAAATACCATTGAAAGGATTTACAGTTCAGCTTCCTGCGTTGTTCCACTCGGTCTGCAATACTAGAAGCAAAAGTACCCTATAGGTATCTTTATTGTAAACATGAATAAAACAGAATTGTGTGACCCAGCAGCACATGAGTACATTTGCAGAATAATTAAAAGAACATTCAGCACTTCTAAGGTGCAACCATATTGGAATCAATGTTGTGGAAGCTATTCAAAGACACATTTGCATGGTGCGTGTGCTTATAGAATTGCCCATGCAAGCTCATTTGTTAATCTTAGAGCAGATGTGGGAAATCTTTTCCATCTGCCCACTGTTTTCTGTTATTTTTTTATTTCCCAACAATTTCTTTCTCCATTAATATTTTTATGGCCTAGATAGAAGATCATGTGCAATATAAAATGTGTCACAAAGTGACTGCATGACAGTAATGTAGCATGGGAAATGACAAGGATTTTGTCATTTACTTTTTTCTTTTTTTTAATCAGAGTTCACGCATAAAGTAAGAGTGAGGAGAAAAAGATCCTATTCAAAAAAATCCTATTGACTCCATTAATGAGTATATACGAGAGATTCAAATACTGGTTTATCTGTCAATTTTGCCCTTCTTAATAATCCAGGCAATTACTTCATTATTTTTGAAATATTGATGTACTATATCCATTACCAATTTGCTTTTTTAATAACAATAACAATAATAGATTATAAATGTCTGTTTGAAAGGATACTATGGATGTTTTGGCAGGCCAAGTTGATATCCTATGATTGGCTTTTTACAGTGTGAGTTAATATAAGAATATAGAAATTTAGAACAGAGTTTTATGAGTAAGATATCAAGAGATAAACAACAGCGCCTGGTAGCAAGACAAACACAGCACTGGAGTAAACTGCTTGTAACAACTGCAACATCTAATAAGGCAATATAATAGAAGCACTCCTGAGAAAAGAAACCGAAGTTAAATAAGAACTTTAAGAATAGTTTCACTTTCCAAAATATTTTTTCCTAGGCCACAGCAGACCTTATAATCTACTGTTAGTTAGGGCTGAGTGTATTACAGATGATTTGAAGGAGGTGCTTAAGATTATGGAGAAGCACAAAAGCTGCACATCATGTAGCTGCTTCAAAAAGGGATTGTCTTTATGAATGTTCCAAAGCATTTCTTCCAAATCATTTTCCAAGCATGCATAGTTTTAATGTTAATGTTAATTCCTACTTTGGAGAAATCCTTTTGAAACTCTTCATCGTCCCTCTTTGTTTTAACCACCCTAAATAGTTTGAAGACATCTGTAAAGGTGGCCACTTACCTATCTCAAGGTAAAATATATTTAAAAGTCAATAATAAAATAAAATAGTAACAGAAATCCTATTGTTAAATCTTTCTTGTGAAAATATTATTTTTGCTTTCAATTATTTAACCATTCATCAAGCCATAAATAATTTTCTCCTCTTATTCCATGTCTACTCAGTCCTAGAGATTTGAATAAGGAATTTGTCAAAATTTTTAGAAAGATCAAGTATACAATATCTTGTGTGAGATCCACTGGGAACTGAGTGGTGTATGTTTAATAAATTATCATTATTCTTCTCAAAGAATGTAAAAAAATGAGTGAGACAGGCCTTGTTTTTGCAGAAACTACACAGATTCTTATTCTTTAATTTTAGTAACTTCTGTTGCACATCCTTTCTTGAAAATTTTACATTTTAAATATGATTTATGTTAAAAATACACACTTTTAAATTAATTTTATTTTATAATGCATATTTTAAAACATGTTCTAAACTATAAATCAAAACATATCTGATCCAGTTACTGTCTGATTTGCATTTTAATCAGGGACAGGACAATCAATTTGTATCATAATTCACAAAGAACAAAAGATTCAAAGATTCAACAATTCTATCTTCCTCAGATCAATTTAACTGAGGTGGTTTACATACTTACCTTCCAAATGACTTTCCAATGGCAGAAGGTCTGGCTTCATAATAATACTGTTTGTATTCATCCATCCACACCTCTGCTGTACGTTTGGTATTTCTGCAGGTAGGACAAGATAAGCCCTATTAAATGTCATTGTTGGGTAGGTCATCTTGCCATGACATGTAGTTGCAGCACATTTTAAAGAATCTGCTATCCTAGTTAACTGTTATTATGTCACTAAACTTTGATGCAAGAGAAAAACATCTCAAAAAGTAGAAACCAAATGAAAAGAAGCTGCATTTCCACAGTGCATGAACAAAATAGAGTCAATGTACAACATTTTAAAAGAACATACCTGAAGCATTCTAGAAAAGATATGATGAGTGGGGTACAAAGATAATGGGGCCAGGTATTCTAGCCCCATATATCTTCATTTACCACTCAACTGGTCCCTTATTCTTCCAGACCTTCACAAGGAAGTCTAAAGGAGAACTGTACTCTTATTTGTTTGAAGATGAAAATAGCTCCCTGATCAAGTGATGTGGAGTACAACTCTTCTGAAACTTGAGGAAATCACAGAAAATAAGGAATTGCATATAAGAATGTGAGTATGTAAGGAAGAGATGAGTTCCATTTTCTATGAATTTCTATGAGCCGTGGTGGCACAGTGGTTAGAATGCAGTACTGCAGACTACTTCTGCTGACTCCCAGCTGCCAACAGGTTGGCAGTTCGAGTCTCACCAACTCAAGGCTGACTCAAACTTCCATCCTTCTGAGGTCAGTAAAATGAGGACCCAGATTGTTGGGGGCAATATGCTGACTTTGTAAACTGCTTAGAGAGGGCTGTAAAGCACAGTGAAGCGGTATATAAGTCTAAGTGCTATTGTTATTGCTATTAACCTTTAAACTTCCCAAGAGAAGACAACTTAGATTCCCAGAGAAGTGTTCTGAATATACAGGTATTCTATTTTTTAAATTCATTTTAATTTAGAGTAGAATCCATTAATCATTTCTGACAGACTCTTGTACACTCAAAGTCTTTTGGGAGGAACTGAGGAATACTCCTAACCAAGTTTTGCTGCAGAAAAAGTTAAAAGAAATAAAGTATCCTGTTGCATACTTCTACTCACATAATGTTGGAGTCTATCATTAAAGACTATTTAACTCCAACAGCCAAGCACTTTTCAGCAGTATTCTGAACATGGAGAAAAGTAAAACACATTGTGGGCATGGCAACTAAGGCATCCTTTATCTATTACTATCATAATAACCACAGCTCTGTTGCACATAAAAAAAGATCTGGGTGTTTCAGTTATGGCCTCTTAACCTTCTTGCCTACTTTGGATTGTAAGCAGTGCCAATTATGTAGCAGGTTTGATAAATTTTGAGGCATCTTGTGCTAAGGAGGTCTCTGAAGAGTTGTTTGTCAGTGGACCTAATTGACTGCAATATGAGGACAGGGAAATTGTTGTGTTGAATTATCATCTGGTCTTATTTTTGGATTTTACTAATACAAAATAGGAAAGTGTAACATGTGTTGTCTATCTGTGTGTGTGTGTGTCTACAGTTACCTAATGCATTTAATAATGACTGCTGCCATATATATCACTAGTCATTATTTTTCAGGTAGTTTACAGTATCAGCAGTACATGATCTTATTTCTGTAGTATTGTAATCCATAGTTCCTATATCTATCCATAAATATGTACATCTGTTCTCCCTCATTATAAACCTTAATTTTGGATATGGCATTTTTAACGTTAAATGAAGCTCAGTGTCAAATCCATGTCATCATCTTTGAGCTATTTAATTACAGAACTCTGTACTAGATCTGTATTTCTTCTAAGTACACAATGGTTAAGCAAGTCTCCAAATCCCAAAGTACAATCTCTACAAAAACAATTGGGTCACAGTTTTTTCAAAACAAAATTTCTAAACATCAGGGAAGCTCTCATTGCAAACATGTATTATTAAAACAGAGAGTACAATATTAATTTGGTTAGGATTAGCCAGCTGACTCAAACATTTTTTGAGTTTATATTAATATCCCAGAGTAAGGTTTAATTAGTAAAATTTTACTAATAAAATAAATATTAATAAAATGAAAACTTAGTTTTAAAAAAAAGAGAATCAATGTGTTGCAGTCTTTAAGATGCTGGCCTAGAAACCAGGAGACTGTGAGTTGTAGTTCCACCTTACTCATGAAAGCCAGCTGGGTGACTCTGGACCAGTCTCTCTCTCTCTTAGCCCAACCCACCCTTGTGGGGAAAATAGGAGGAGAAAGGAATATGATGAATATTTGCCACCTTGTATTACTTATAAAGTAATAAAGACTGGATTTTAACAAAATCTAATAAATAAATAAAATACGCAAAGGGATCTCTGACCAAACACCATACTTCAGTGAGAACTAAAAGTCCCTCCACCCTCCGGTTCTCTAAACTGGAATCAAGATTAAGCCATTCCTACTTGATATAGGTTAATGCATTGCCCTCGGGGAAATCATATGGATGGCGTTTTCTGAAAACGTGACCCACTCGACTGCAGGGGACAATCTCCAAGCTACCTCCACACATCCAGACACGGAAAGAAAGCTCTAGAAAATATCCAAGGAAAGAGAATATGAGGTGAAACAAAGAACTACTTAATGTGCAGGTGGACATGCTAGTGGTAGAGGCACAACTGGATTATAAAAAGAGAAGAAATTCACTGAAAATAAAGCTTTGTATGAGGGGAAGGGAAATCTTGCTTCTCCTCAGTTGTAACCTTTCCCCTGTTTCCATATGCTAGATCAGTATAATTTGGGATGGAGGGGTGGAGGCTTTTAAAAGGGAATTTTTTTGAAAGCTCCCAGAGAATATATGCCAGTGACGGCGAACCTTTTAGAGACCGAGTGCCCCAAAACTGGCCCTGCCCCTGCTCCACGTCCCTGCTCCGCCCCCACCCCACCTGCCCGCAGGGCCACTCATCACCTCCAGAGCCCGCCGCAGATTGCCCAGCAGCACCATGGCAGCCATGCCCTCTGCCCGCGCCCCGCAGCATCAACTGTGCACAATGGGGCGTGAGGGCAGAATCTTGTCTACGCTGCCTGGCTGCCATGTCCTTGACTGCACTGTTCTGCGTGGGCCACGCTCGGGGGCGATCCTTCTCCAGGAGGGCTGCTGGTGAGGAGGGTGTCATGGGGGGAGGCAAGGCTGGGGCAACGGCACGTGTGCCCACAGAGAGGGCTCCGAGTGGCACCCGTGCTATTTGATTTGATTTTTAAAAGGCTATCAGAGGAAAATTCTCTTAACATAAAAAAGAAAGTCCATAACAATTTAGAGTGGAGAGGAGCAGGCTCCATGTGCAAGTACAAAATAAGAGACAGAATATCTTAATGGCACTGATGAAATTAAGTCAAGACAGAGTGTTACAAAGACCTATGCAGTCCCAAGCAAACCATTTCAGCTGTATGTATCAGTGAGACTGAAAACCTGAATAAAAATTGTCAGAATTCTAGAGAAACATGTAATCGACTCTAATCACTGCTTAGGGGTGTGTTTGCACTAATCAAATTTCATGCTCTTTAAGTCTTTATAGACTCCTAGTATCTGGGCAGTATTATAGGAATGGCAAAGTCTGGCCATCATCTAAAGCATAATGAGCTCCTAAATCTGTGGAAGAATACATCTCCTTTCATAACATCCAAAGTCCCTGTGCTTTTCATATATTACAGGCTGAAGCTGAAATCTTTTGGCATACTTTTACTGTAGGATCATAAGATCTCCTAAGAATGCATCATTTGGCAATCTAGATTCTGAGACACAGCCTCATCCTGTTTATTTAAATTGAAGCATCCCTATCCCTGTCCTTTGCTTTCAGAGATTTTACTGCTCCAGAATGAAGCTCAATTTTTTATTAAAAGGATCAGAGGACTACCAAGGCTTGGTAAAAAATCATTAGAAAAACAGTGACCTTGCGAAGGTCTTATGTTTAATAAACATGGAAGCTCACTATTGTTTACTGATCTGGGGTTACAAAGAAAACATCAGAAAAGCTGCAGCAAAACAAATTGAAAACTGAAGGGGACAGAAGAGGGGGCTAGAAAATTTATGAGTATGTTGCATTTTCCATTGTCTTTGATGTGCTCTTCAATTGACCAATGAAAATTCATATTAGATGATGCAAATTGTAGCAGCCCTTAGCAGATCCAGATAAGTAATTAATGGTCCTTTGATGATGAGAGTTGGAATCCAATAACTGGAAGGAACAGGTTCCCCAGCTCTCTATCAAATTCACCCTTTTATTGCAATTCTTGTATCTTGTAGATCTTATATTCAGATATATACTGTGTTTCCCCAAAAGTAAGCCCTACCCCAAAAATAAACTCTAGTTTTGGGGCGAGGCAGACACCTAAAAATCAAGCTAGGGAGATGGAGCTGTCCCACGCGCCCTGCACCCACTTACGTTGCAGCCAGGCCTCTCCTCGCCAGTCCACTTCTGCGGTGTCCCCAGGCCTACATGTTGCAGTCAGAGCTCTTTCCAGAAGGCATCTGCAGCCGAAAACTGAGCTATGGATTGAATTCATAGCTCAGTTCTCGGCTGCAGTAGCCTTTTGGAAAGGCCTTTGACTGCAAAATGCAGGCTGGAGCTCCATTCTCAGCTGCAGAATGAAGCTGCTCCTTCAGCCGCAGAAGAAGTGGGCCAGCTGGGCGGGGCTGTCAGTGCCAGACGTGAGTGGAAAAGACACCCCCACCCCAAAATAAGACCTGGTGCCTCTTGGAGGCAAAAAAAAAAAAAAAAGACTGGGTCTTATTTTTGGGGAAACACGGGTAGTTGGTGATCATAATATCTACCACTTTTTTTGTAGAAGCTGCATAATATAGAAATCCAAAGGCAGTTGCTGAGGAATGTGGCTAGATATTATCAAGGACGTAAGTGCTTTCATTTCAACAAAGCTTATTTCATAATCTGGTTTTTATGAATTTTTCTTGGAACTATTTATCTGTTCTTGCTGTTCTACCATCTTTTATTGTAGTGGTAGATGAATGGTTTTAACTACATTTTATTATATCTAAGCTAGACTTGTACCCATGTCCATATTTCCCCAGTTCATAATGTTAGGCTTGCAAAGTCCCTAGATATCTTTCAGTCATTCAGGCATTTCTTTCTGCCATTTTTTTATTCTTATCTAACACGAGTAGGACAAAATACAAACTGTAAGTGAAATATTTAATGTAACACTTAATATACATTTTCAAAAGTACTTTCTTCTTCTAGACCCTATCACTAAATACACCCATAGGAAATATCTAAGATAACAAACAATGCAGATATTATCAGAGTGTCATGTAAGAATGTGTAGGAAATGTTGACTTACTCAAAGCTGAAAAGGCAGGACTGCCTGGTGACAAGAAAGAGACTCTATCTCTATGCAAGTAGATCCTGAATAAAAGTCTGAGTTTTCAGTGCTTCCAGTCAGGATAAAATATTATATTATGTGTCCAGGATTTCAGAACTGATTTGTGAAAAATTGACAAGAGAAAGCAACATAAAGGCAAATCAAAGTGCTAACTTACCAAAGTTCTCTCCTCCCCAGATATCCATCTGTATGTCATATTTTCCAAGATGGTTAAACCAAGACTTATTGATCACAAAGATTCCTCCTGCTATGACAGGTGTTCTAGTAAAAATGACAATGAGGAAGTGCAAAAGGTTATTAATAAAAATGCTAGAGTGAAAAACAGAACTCTTCTACATTTGTAGGCAACCTATTCTGTATAAAATACTTTAGAAAAAATAAATAAGATAATTGAAAAACAATGACTTTCCTATGATTATGTATCATGAAAAAAGCTGTAAGTTTGTAATATTTTCATGATCGTTTTACAAAAATGACTACTCTGTACTTAATCTGCAAGGAGGTGTCAAAAACTGCAAAATGGTGGGCATAGTGTTGTGATCCTAACACCATTCACTGTATATGTGCATGTAATGTGAATGAATGTACAAAAGGTGCAGGGTTTGGATCACAATACTATACATTTTCATTTTGCAAATTCCTCCCAACTTCTGGTTTTAAATATATTATACAGTATATAGTGATAACTTAGTTTTTCTTTAATGAGATTTTAGGGGAAAGTTTAGATTTTTAAAAAATCATTTTAATTATACAGAGAAGACCTTTAGTATTAAGTGTGGCTCATTTATATGACCCTCTGGCTAATGGAAACAGAGCAGTCTCCATCAAAGGGGATGAAAATTGAGAAAATCATGCATTCTCACAACTTGTTCCTGGCCTGTTAAAGTTAATTAAAAAGTCAAGTGAAAATGAACTGAAGAATGTGCATATTGAGGACATAAAGAAATACTGCTTCCTTTGCTTGCAAGTGAATTCTATGAGAAGGCGGAGACATCTCCAAGGGGAGAACAGATCAGTCTCACTCATCTCCACTATCCAGAACACTAGATCAGAGTGGTCCAGGTTTGCAAAGTTGACCAGCAATAAACAGAATTGGCTAAAGGATCCTAAATGTTTGGATTGCAGAGACTGAGAGCGCTACACTTGTCTGCTACATTTCCTCAAATTAGAAACTCTTATCCTGCCATATATAAATCTATTTGGAACACAGTTCACATAAATGTAGGGCTTGGTGTTATTGCTATTTGAATATACTTGCAACATATTCTTACTGTTCAAAGAAACCCTAGACTTAACTAGACTTCCTGGTCCTTATCTACAATTTCCACTATGCTTTAAATAGAACAGGGTGCACAAGCCAATGAATGTGTGAGTCATCACAAAAGCCTTGGGTTGATGAATTGGTCTAAATCTTGAGAAAAACTCCTGTGCTGGAAGTAGAAAGTGGATTCTATTCCAATTTGTAGCTTACATACTGCCTGGGAAAAGATCAATTAAATGCACATATTTTTCAAACAGGAACAGTAAAATTTAAACAAGTACAATCTATAAAAGCCACACATGATTATACAATACCTAATATATTGCCATTATTATAGCAGTGCAGTGGAGCCAACAGACAGAATCTCAGGTAGTTGTCAAGAATGTTAACATCTTTCAGGAGCAAAAGATAGATTTATTACCTCTCATAAGTGATGTAAACATAACTTCTGAATGTTCCTCATGGTTACATCAACCAATGAGACCATTTCTTATATAAAATGAAAGCTGAAAGATTACATCTAAACTGGGATTCCAAGATGAGCTTGCATGAAAGAATTTACCTAATAGATTGGGTAGGGTCTGTCCTGGACAACTTTTGCTCAATGGGAATCTGTTCCCATTTAAAATGAAGACTCCAGTCAAATCCTAAAATGTAGAACATAAAAACACATGGAACCTTAAAGGTTAACTAGCATTTAGCATGACAATTAGGCATTTTTATTTCTACAGACATGATTCCAGAGAAGCAAAGGCCTTCTATAGGATAGTCCTATATGCAGATGACCAGCCTGGCTTTAAAGAATCGCAGCAGGTACACTCACTGGTATTTATCTGTGCTCAGTAACATCCCAAACTTCCTATATTGGTTCGCAGAAAGAAAGGCAATAATTAGTACTTTAGCTTTCTACTCAGGTTGTCCTATGCCTCATTGGCTGCCAAAGTTATGAGACATTAATCAGTTCCCTCAATGGGATGACATGTATTTCCGGGAACAAAGTGTCTCTGTTTATTGTAATTGGCTTTTCCCCATACGCATCACATAAAAATGCCATCTGACTTACGAGTGTTGCAAATTGAGCATATCTGGTGGGAAGGCTTGGCTAGCAAAAGATGCATGCAGGTGAGAATTGCAGAACTGAAAGGCAGGGAACACTGAGAGGTGCATTTGCAAAAGGAAATAAAGTACACCGAGGGAGGTTTCAAAAACTGAAAAGGGTGCTTGAGGCATAGCAATTCTTTTAGGGAAAAGACCCAGCGCTTGGATTTCCTGCAGTCCAGCACAGTGGAGCCAACTGTTGCATCTAAGGCTAATCTGCACAAGTGGCTTATCCTGGCAGTGTGACATCTGGCTCACATGATGCATAGAAGGCAGGTTTTTTTGGCATAGTTTTCCTCAATATTTTGTTTTCTTCCTTAACTACTTTATGATTGTTTGGTGGTCAGCTGAAGGTGGAATGGGACAACTTATTGCGGCCAGCTTGCCATAGCCAACTCATCACGGCCAACTTGTTGCAGGACAACTTGCTATGGACAACTCGCTGTGGGACAACTTGCCATGGGGCAATTTAACAATTCAATTTAATTATTTAAAATAAATACACAAAATATTTTAAATTTTGTCATTTACATTTCATTTTGTCCCTGTTTTTGCATCCCTTCTTTAATGATTCTATTCCACCATTTCTTTGATATTAGTGTAACTCTTGTCCCTCAGCGAGTCGTCCTGTGGCGAGTTGGCCATGGCAAGTTGTCCTACAGTGAGTTGGCCACAGGATGTTGGTAGTGGCAAGTTGGCTATGGCTGTCATGCCTCTGTCAGAGCCTGAATCTGCTGAGGAAAATGAGCTGGAACGGGATCCTATGGAGGTCGAGGGTGAGGTATCTGTGGCTTCAGAGGAATATGGGGAAGAGCAAGGGCCACCCCCTCCTGATCCTAGAGCACGGAGAGTGGAGAGGAGGGAACAATGCAGGCAGGCTCAACTACTCAGGAGGAGAGTTGCCCTGCCCCTCTCCACAAGGCACACCTGGAGACTGAGACTTAAGGAGACGCTGTGGGGAGGGGCATTTGTCGGGAACAAACACTGATTTCTTGGAGTTTTGTGTGCTGTTGCTGATCTTGGAAACAACTCTCTGATCTCTTGTTCGGTGTTGTGATTTTTGCTTGGAAACCCTGAAACTCTGACCATTGAACTGGCTGACAAACTTGATTTGTGTTCAAAGACCTCGGATTGTATTTTGGCTTCTCTTCTGTATTTCTTGTATTTCCACAGACTCGTTAGATTTTGGATGTATGTTTCATTCCTTGTTAGCTACATGGCCTTGAGTAAATTATTCTTCTAATCTAACTGTATGTGAAACTACTTGCAGCCAGAGGCTGCTGAAGATGTGTGTATCTTACTTTCTTCTGGGCCTTGCCAGAAACGTGGGAGCATTTGGGGAAAATTTGGAGCAATTAAAAGGCGGTTTCAATTGCCAGATGACTGCATTGCCTCTGTGCCATGCCCTGGGTCATCACAATGGCTATTTGGCCATGGTGAGCTGGCCATGGAGAATTGTCACAGATCCAGCTGAAGGTTTTGTGTGCTACTGAGAAAATGTGCTTAGTCTTATGGTATTATCACTTGTTAGTGGCTCTTTCTCTGCAGCTCTTTTCCTTGGAGGACTAAGTAGACATAACAGGGCAATTGACTGGAGGTGAGCCTAATTTAGCCCTATATAAAACTGGTTCTCTTGTGGGCAAAATCTAATTCCCTGAGTGAAAGTTGGTTTTTGAACCCTTTTTGGTATTCTTATAACACATTAACTTACCCCCATTGAGTCAGTTACGTTTGTTGTGGGCAAAGGCCATATAGTACTATAGACTGGTGATTACCTTGTGCTTGCATTTGAAATATAGCTGAAATTAGGCTGTATTCATGGACATGTGCCCATCCAACAGCAAGGAGCTTGCTTGCCCAAGAATTTGCTCATCCTTTGAGAAAGATCAAGTATCAATCTCTTTGATAAAGACAGTATTCATAATATGACAAGGAGGAGGAGGAGGAGAAGAAAAAAAACAGTAAGGTATACTCGCATACACACAGTCTTACCTATCAAGAAGACTATTAAAAGTATTGGAGGAAATGTGAATGCTTGTGCATTATATTGAGGAATAATATCTTATCTAGAAAACCAGCAGGGACATCAAGCATGTGTGTAAAGAAAATGAGCAGACCCATCCAATTCTGTGCTTTAGATGGCTTTCAGAAATGCCCCAAAGGAGCAGCAATATGTTGGAGGTCATTTATGCTTACAAATGTGTCGCTGTCCTTTTGTGCAGCTAGGACTTTTGAGGAACCAGTAATTATTAATATCCTGCTCTAAATGTTATCAATAAATAAATTTAAATGTTAGCACATTTTACTCTGGTTTATTTATTATTGGCCAAATGACATTGCATTTTTATGATTAATAGTGTTTAATTTGTAATGAATTTTAAACGTTATGATATTAGTATTATTGGAATAAAATGCCTGATTTATCATATTTTCTTATGAAAGAAATTAGTACTCAGCTTCTTTTTGATGTAATGCCTTTGTCATGTGTTCCTACTGAAATGCTATTTTTTCTAATATTACTGTTCTTACGACGTGGAAAAGACACGAATAGGAGAACAGCAGCAGCAGCAGGAGGAAACACAGATGTTGCAATGGCTGGATCAGGAAGCTATGCAAATTGTGATCCCTGCAAGGCTACATTCTCAACAGCCTGTTCAAAGTTACAGATGTTATGAATCCTACAAACAAACAAACTAGGTCAATTTTAACTGCCTGCAGAGGAAAGCATAACTTTAATACCATTTAATATCAGTGGGGCTTTTATTGTATCATCACCCTGCCTTGTTCAGAGAATTGTATAGGGACCATGTTATGCTACCTTCCATTTGTACCTTTCACACATTTATCTTCTTGTCCCACAGAAGATCAATTCACAAGCATAAAGCAGAATATTTGCACAAGGTCTTTGGACTGCTTGGCTAGAAGTGCCTCAGGAGATGAAAGGAATCTGTCACATGGGGCTGATTCTCGGAGATAAAAACTCAGATTCTATTTCAGAATCTCTTTATTCTTACCTACCTCCTCTCAAATCTGCTGATGCTGCTAGATAGGCAAAATTGTCCAAGCTGATGACATCAATAATAGGACTCACCACACGAGTATAATCCTGAAAAAGTAGAGAAAAAGAAAGAATGCTGGATATATATTTTTTTCTAGGAGGAAAGTAATGTTTCAAGAGGGCTTCAAGATGGAAATGGTAGAAGGAAAAACCTCCAGGTTTTTAAATTGATATTCACATACGTAACTGCAGCCCATAGATTTTTTCAATGCAAAGAGGGAAACTTTTACAGTGCAATTATTGTTCTTCATTTTCAGGCATTAAGTACAGCACACCATTTCAAAGTTTTATTGATCAGATAGACTCTCAGATACTGTTAGTGTAATTTCTTGCAGTCATCTACAAAAAGTGTTGCTAAATTAGAGGAGTAGACAACCTGGTTCTCTTCAAGTATCTTTTTTAAACTATAATTCCCATTGATGCCAGTTAGTGAATAGGCAGGAATCCATAGTCCAAAACATCTCAGATTGCTTTCCCCTCATGCTAGTTTTACATGGAGAAATCTCCCAATTTGAAACTTGAGCTATATGCTGGTTAAAATACTTTCTCAGACTTGTTTTTTTCAAGTTGCTCATTAAGGTAGTCAATAATACCCAATTACTCATCTCCTAATAGGATTCATGTATCTCTAACATTGTTCCCCAAGGGTGTGTCCACATCACCTAAGTATGTTTGCACCCATATCTATGGCATATGTGCCAAGAATAGCTGGTGTCATTTCAGTCAGCCAACTCATACCCCTCCCATTTTTTTTAAATGGTTGCTGGAGTTGATTACCAAAAGTCAGCAAAGTTATTTCCTACAACTTTGAAGCAGGAAACTTATAAACACGATTATGATTTCCACAAATGGATTCCATATAGGGCATTTTGATTCTGCCACCATTTCTCCTTCCCAGCACTGTTTATTCATCTGTTGATTCAAGGAGGCTGAGAAACAAAGAGCATAAATCTCTCCCCTTCCCCCCCCCACCATGTCCTGCAGCAATAAATATCTATTCCTCTCAGGCCACAAAAAGGGAAAGAAAAAGAAAAGAAATTTAAAAAACCAGCCAGCCTCATAGCTTGGAAGAGACTGGTGCATGGGTGAAAAGAAAGAAACTGACAGAACCTTGTCAATATTACAGGTAGTCCTCAACTTACAACCACAATTGAGCCCACAATTTATGTTGCTAAGTGAGAAATTTGTTTAAGTGAGTTTTGCCCCATTTTATGACTTTTCTTGCCACATTTGTTAAGTGAATCACTGCAGTTGTTAAATTAGTAACACGGTTGTTCAATGAATCTGGTTTTCCCATTGACTTTGTTTGTCGGTCACAAAAGGTGATCACATGACCTTGGGACACTGCAAGCGTCATAAATATGAACCAGTTGCCAAGCGTCCGAATGTAAATCACATGACCCTGGGCATGCTGCAGCAGTCATAAGTGTGAAAAATGTCATAGGTCACTTTTTTCAGTGCTGTTGTAAGTTCGAACGGTCACCGAACGAACTGTTGTAAGTTGAGGACTCCCTGTATTCCCTGTATTCATCTGGGGCACATAACAAGAACCAGTGAAACCAGAATTCCTGAAGCTGAAGAGCTACATAAAGAGCAAAGCCACAAATTCTATCTAATGGTAAAATCTATCTGCCTTTAAGCTCCATAGAGGTTCACTATTATAGGTTCACTATTATAGCTAAAAATCAGCTTTCAAACAGCACCTCTGCACAGTGGTGGGATTCAAATATGTGAACAACCGGTTCTCTGTGTGGATGCCACTTCTGGAAGTCCATTCTGGGCCTGGGCAAAAAAAAATTAGCTACCGGTTCTGCCGAACCCCACCACTGCCTCTGCACAACTGAAGAGAGATGACGACAGGGGTGTGGAGCTGATCTAGACCTGGGGCTAATACCTCAAGTGGAAGTGCCCATGATTAAAAAAAACAAAAACAAAAAGAATGACCCCAAGTTTCCCCAAAAGTCACTGAAAAACCATAGAAATATAATCTGATACATGAAATGTGTGACAGGCTTTTCATCCTGGTCACAGAACAAAAAATTGTGGAAACCCAAATCTTTGGATCTTGCTGTTCTTCAATATATTTTAGGTAGCTGTCTAATGAAGGTACGAACTCCAGGTTTTGTCTCTGCAAACTCAAAGTCTCGTCTCTTCGGTTTTTCAGAAATGTTTCAGAAATAGTAATATCAGAAGTTATGTTGAATTTATAATTATATAACATAATCAGAAATTCATTGAATGTTTTTTCTTGGAGAAGAAAAATATAAGTCATAAGAAGGTCTTTCTATTCCTGGATAAACAGTCCAACTTTAAGTGATAATTCACAAGCACTAAATTCCACTTCTGTAGTGCAAAAATAGCATTTATCCTCTTATGAGTGACACTAACATACTCTGGAAAGTTTCCTTGTAAAAAACTAATCAACACAGCAGCAAGGTGTAACTTTCTTCTGTCAGAGAATTTACTAATGAGTAAGTTCTTCAGCAATCTGGGGAAGAGATACAAGTAAACTCTGCAGGGTTTGGATGTGACTTGTTGAGTGCAAAATAGAAAGAAGAACAGAGAAATATAGGAAGAGACAAAAATATGTGGTTATTTCTTCTTGTTCCAGAAAAATCTTTGCAAGAGAAAGCCAGTGGGACATATTGTCTGAAATGGTATAGGGTTTCCTGCCTGAGCAGGGGGTTGGACTAGATGAGCTCCAAGGTCCCTTCCAACTACTACTACTACTACTTCTTCTTCTTCTTCTTCTTCTTCTTCTTCTTCTTATTATTATTATTATTATTATTATTATTATTATTATTATTATTATTATTATTATTATTATTATATTACTAAGCACATAATGATCAGTACAAGTCTGTTAAGCTTTACTGTCAGCATTAGTAGAGTGGTAATTCTGGTTAGGCAAGCCTTCTTAGTGGATTTTTTTCTTAATCCACAGAAAGGGTCATCATTATTTACAGTTTTACTATTTTACGGTACAAGTCTTTGTGTAGCCCATAAATTTTCTGTAGCTATTTTATCCATGGCTTCAACTCCATTTTTCTTAATGCTTTTATTTTTTGACATATACAGGCTTTTAAAAATTACATTTCCTCGATGAAAGCCCTTTTATAAATAAAATGATTGTTTGTACATAGTTCAATACCGTGCACTTTTTTTTTCATCTTTCTCTTGTTAACTTTGCTTGAGGGATTTCCCTCTAATGCTAATATTTATGCCACCACAACATTTATTGAGGGCATGCAATGGGATCTAGGGCAGAATTAAAAGAATTAAACATCTCTAGAATATATAATCAATAAAGAAAACTCAGGAGAAAGTTCGAGCTTTATTGGAACTCCAATAGAGTTTGCAGCAATTATATACTACCTCAGTTGGCCTAATAAAAATTGCTTAGTCTGAGTGCTTTGTAAGTAGAAAATCAGGATTAAGCATTTGAAATCCATAAACACATTTTAAATACTTTTACTATGGTTATTTTTTAAAGCTTATATTTGGGATTATATAAACAAAGGAGTGAGCAAAGGACTAGAAGCAAGTATTTATCTATTTGTCTAGGCTGATTCAGTTTCAGTAACTTTGCCAGATGTTCACCTTTAAACATTAGAACTGTTTGGGCTAAAGAAAACAGTCAAGAACAGTATTGATAAGCTCCAAAAGATCTGAGTGCTAATTGGTATGGTATATAATAGAGACCAACTTGACAAATAATGGTCTTGAAGATTATGTGTAAGAAAAAAATTATGTGTTAAAAAAACCCCTGACTTGAAATTCTTCAGTGCAAGGATTGTGTCCCTGGGATCTGGACACAGGGACAAAGGCCAGGGTTGGAGATATCTATACATATGTTTAACCCATTAATCACTTCTTGGCCTTTTAGCTAAGATCAAGTGTAGCACTTGACTAACCTATTAATTTATATCTGTTTTAGCTCCCATCATTATAAAGAAAAAAGAAAAAAGAAAAATCCTGGTAATTAAAAATGTTCAAAAGCCTCAGTGCCCTGACAGAAATACACATTTTCTTAAAAAGAGGAATGACTGGCTTTTTAAAAAAACAGGATACCGACACACCTGATTAACTCACAATGAATTTACCATACAAACATCCAAGGCCAATCCTGATTCTCCACATACCTGCATAAAGGCAAGTCTTTCAACCTCTCGCCCTGCCATCTATTCCTACACAATGATAGGTCATTTTGGAGCAATCTTCTTCTCTACTACAAAGTAGAGTGCCTTGTGGCTCTCCTTTTGTATAGCGGTAGTTGTCGCTATTGTTGCTCCATTCAGCAACATGATTTTATGAACAAATATAAATCAGACATTTATAGGCTGCTGAGGGGGAGGATTTATTAAGCTGAGGGTTTTCACATCTCCATCTCAGACAGTTCACCTTCTTCCCCTCTTGGCAGAAGCTGAACATGTCTGCAATTTGCATCCCTACCGGTTCCTCCTACCTGTCTCCTGGGCCTTGTTAAATATCTAGGAAAGTTCTTTTTTAAAAAGACTGTGCAGGCATTACAGCTGGCAGGAAGATCAGCCTACCTCTCTCTGCTCCTGCAGATCACACCTTCTTCCTGGCCCTTTGGCACATCCAGAATGAGAACTGCCTACTCAGCTCTATCATGTATCTTTCTTTTTCTTCTTTTACTTCAGAGTTAACCCCTTCTTTCCATGTTCACTCTGCACAGCACTGTTATGGATTCACTTTGGATAATTCAGGCCGAGGAACGGGAAATAAGTAGACATGGGTTTCATCCTTATTGTATATTCTACTTATTGCTTCATAAGTTATGCTGTATAGTAAAACTTAAAGACTACCTAATATAATATCTTGATCCTGTTCTTATACCTAACTTAACCTACATTCTGGGTTGTTTTTTTATACACTTACTTATTTACAGAGTTTTCAGTCTTTCTTTTAGCTTGAGGACTGAGGTCAAATAGCATACATCCTCCACTTTTAATTTCTTTAAACAGTATTTTCTTAGCCTCCTAATTCACACTATAGGAGACCTGTTTGCCTGTCTTTTGGAGATTCCAGATGCACGAGTCACTTGGAATACACTTCCCCTTTTATCTCAGATTGTAGATTCTTTACCCTGCATGGCACTTATCCATTCTCAACCAACACTGCTTGTTTTTGTCAGTTCAGTAATGATTCAGCTGCCCTGGTTGTCCCAGTCTCACATCTTCAACCTTCTTTACATGAAGTGACACAAAGCAGTGTTTCTCAACCTTGCCAGTTTTAAGATACGGTATGTGGACTCCAACTCCCAGAAGTTGGGGAATTCTGGGAGTTGAAGTCCACACATCTTAAAGTTGCCAAGGTTGAGAAACACTTTTCTAGATTCAAAAACTTTACCAGGTCTTTCTCCAGCACACTCCTGATTTCAGTACCATCGGTCTCTCAATTTTCAGCACTCTTGCCATCTTTGTTTCTATGAGGTACATTTATCAGTCAAAAAGTACCAAACAAGTGGAAAATAAATTCCTACTTGTGGGATCTTTGGTGGTGTCTGAGCTTGGTTATTTTCTTGCAGACGTTTTATTACCAAACATGGTAACATCATCAGTGCTGGAAAGGAGTGGGGCTTGCTTTCTGTTTATATACTAGTGGCTTGCCTATCAAATTCCTATTTCTTCTGGAACAGTTGTGACTCCCCTATGGAGGAAAAAACCTGCATCTTCCATGAACTTGGCTTCTGTCCAATGCCAGGCAGGATTAAAAATTGGTTCTTTTCCAATATATTATCACTGCCTTTCTATCAGCAGGTATATATGAAAGAAGAATTCACACTTTCCAGTTTTCCTTCTATGACAACATCATTCTACAACATAGGAAATTAAACTTCACGTTGGTTAACTTCATAGTTTTGAGACCATGGAGCCTGATATAGTGAGAATAACAGTTGCAGCAAGATAAGGAATACATCAAAGAGAAGAAAGATATTAGAATGCCTCCTTTCTGTTTGTAACACTTTTAGGTGTAAAAGTCAATTCCAAACTGATGAAAGTTATGGATCTTCTTATATAAACAGCTCACAGCAAGCTCCCATGAACTGAACAAAGAAAACAAAGATTGCTGGAAAGAAAATCACAAAGTCCTAATATAGAGAGATATCAGCTGTAAATTGAAAATGCTTTAACAGCTGGAATTCTTGCAGTGTGATTCCTTTTATTTCAATGAACCTTGCTAAAAAGAACTCTTGAGAACTTTTGGTTTTAGGCAACTGCCAAAGAACCTGACATGACTCTGGTCAACTGAAAGCAAAAGACATGGACTAGAGAGAGATAAGGAAAACATACTCACCTCTTTTACTCTCTGAAGCATTGGCTGCAACCATTCACTGTTCACTTCACAGTGGCTATCCAGGAAGGTGAGAATATCAGCTGTTGCGGTATCAGCACCTCGTACTCGGGAGCGGATTAGACCTGAAATGAGGGGGCAAGAAAATAAAGAGAGAAAAAAGTAGAAAAGAAACACTTATTTTAGTGAATGAATCAAAGAATCGATAAAGGAGAATGTTTATAGCTCAGGGTTGAAATAAAGGGGTCCATGGTGCTCTTCTGCACTTGGTAGTTTTCTTGCAGATATTTAATTACCCAAACTAGGCACTATCATCTGTGCTGGTAAGGAATGGGTTTTGCTCTCAATTTATATTCTAATGGCTTGCCCTGCCAATATTGTTGGGAATGGTCTTGGTGATTCTTTGGTTGGACTGTTTACTGTTAGCTTGTTTGGCTGTTTCTCAACAGGAGTATTGTTTACTTCTTAATTATTGGTCTTGAATGTTGGTGTTGAAGTAAGCATATCGTAAAGTTGTTGAGATTGAGAAACACTGCTGTATACCAAAGTTTACTTGTTTCTATTTTACTGATCAACACAAATCATATTTTGTTTTTATTTGCCTGGCTCAGTTGCTCAACTACTATGGCACCTCTGGAGATTATAGATCATTAGCAAATTGTTAATTCTACTCTAGTATAATAATAAATCACAAATGTATTGTCTATTAAGCCAAAGCACATTGTATAATCTATTGATGCATTACCACAAACATCCTCCTGCTCAGTAATATTTTTTTCTGGGCAGTGATTCTTTCTTAAATAATGGCTCCTTTTATGTCTACCTGAAGATCTTTCTTCATTGTATCTTTCTTCATATACAAAAGACCTAAGTCTATAACTACCTTAGCACATAGGAAGCACTCTTTCTTACTTCCTCTACACTTTACTGCATCTCATTCTCCTTCCTCTGAAGACCCCTGCTTGTATGTTGCATTCAAATCTTGTTCCTCCACATCATTTTCTCTATATTACCTTTAATATTTTCTTTTCCACAAGGCCTAGGAATTTCCCAAGACAACTGCATTCTATTGAACCTAGATAGAAACTGTTTGATAATAATAACTTCCTTTCTGCATTTAAATTATTTCCTTGTTTCTTGTCTTCTAGTCTTCTCCTCTTTTTTAACCAACCTGACATCTTTTACAAAGGTGAAATACAACTGTCTCTGTTCACAAGACATGATCTACTAAAGGAACTGTTCTATAGAAGTTCCTTCCCTATGTATATCCCGCACTAATCTGCTCATGAGGATTGGGGAAGCTTTGAAGGATATCAGGGGGAATGTTAATTGCTTCAAGTATAAGCAGAATCTGGATATTTAGTTAGGATTTCTTGAGAACATTTTAATTTTTTGAAGTGCTCAGGTTCCACTTCTCTTATTCTCATTTGAAAACCCTTAGGAGAATTCCTGGTCTAATTGGTCTCTGTTATTCACATTTGGCATCTGCATAATTTGTCTCAAATAATATTAACTCTAAATCAGTTCTGCTAGATAAGACAGCAACCTGTATTCCAAACAGATTGATGAGCCAGAGTTTTACTGAACAGCAGTTCTCTACTCTATAACTAAACTATATTCCTGTCAGCTGTCTTTTAAGTTTTTCAGTTATGTCGGTTGTTGTCTAGCAAAAATACCTGGGTTGTAGCCCTATGATTCTTTATTATTCTATCATATTTTTCTGGTTTAGCAATATGGACTGGGAATATTAACAGGCAATGCTTTGGGACGTTACCATTCTTATAAATTCCAGGATAGGTTGTATGAAATTTTGGAGTAGATTGTAATACTGAAAACTAGCCGTTCTATTTCTTGTTTCCACCTGAAAAAGTTGCAGGAGTTTTGCACTCAAATCACAACTTGAGGTTTATGAGAGAAGGAGAGTAATTGCATTAAAACCCCATTCAGACAGTACAGAGTGGTTTATGCTCATGATAGTTGCTCTGCTATACGAGGTTCTGGAAAAGTTCATCCTGGTTATACTGTACATATTACATTCTTTTCGGTACATTGAGTAGAATCTCTAGATCTCAACCTTCTCTTATAAGCCCCTTTGATCTGGACTTTTCCCACTGGCCTAACAATGAGAGTCAAAAATCTGAACCTCCCCGGGTTTTTTTTAAACTAGATCTAGCAAAGGAGCATGCTCAGTTCAGAAGAGATAATTCCATATTCTTTCTGCCACAAGTCTCAATTTGCATTTCCATTAGGACCTTGTAACAGTGTATGCTTTCTGCAAACTTTGTCATGCTCACCTTCTCGACGTCCATTGCGTAGACACTTGACCTTTGGGATTCTGGTAAGTAGTTGGCAGTCTTCAGCTAAAGAAAAGGGGGGAAAAAATCCAGTGGCCTGAAATGCCTGGTTCATTTGGCACAGAGAAGAAAGCTGCAATTAATTTGTTCCATGTTCTCAGAACAGGCTAGCATTTTGTTTTCAATTATGGTATCAATCAATCTGGTGATTCCATAGTAAATCATTCTGTTGCTTAAAATATCTCTGATAGATTTCATTTAACCTATCTCCTTTCCTCGTGATCAATCTCTTTGAGACAGTAAAGCACACTACATATATTATATTACAACTGTGTGTAAGTATAAAAACATGCCTCACAGCCATCATAAAGGGCTACTATCAGTAAGAGTGAATGAGAAGAAGGTGCTTAAATCTTTCCCTTGCCAACCAATTTTCACCTACATTTCCCTTTCATTATGGTGTTTTTATTCCTCTGGGGTTATATTTGTAAGATAAGAAATATCCAGTTCATTAAATGTACCTGGAAAAAAGATGAAAGGTTCAGAGCAAATAGGGAGAAAAATTAATACTTCTCTTCCCATATTTTCTCTTATACAATTCAGCCTTGATTAAAAAGCTTATAATGTTCTATTAGATGATAACTACTAGATGATACTATTATGCATTGTTTGATGTCAGACATCTTTGATTTGGGGTGGGCAGCCTGCAGTCTCAAAGCTACCGGTGATCCTAAATTCTTACTGAAAAGCCCTATCTAGCTGTTTAAAATCGATGACACAATTTTCTGCCATTTTATTAAGACTTTGTCAGTCACAATATAGGCAGACCTCAAATAAAATTTGCTTACACCACATTGCAGTCCATGGCCTCTTTAAAAAATGCAAAATGTAATTCTTAGCTGCAAAAAGATTGCCCACCTCTAGTTTAGAGTACAAAATCATGTTACTTTTCTAAAATATACACAATACAGAATATGTATTTCACAAAATACACCAACTGCTTAATGCAGAGAGGTCATTTGTAATGAAAAATCAATGAGCTGATTTATCCTTAATTCCCTTCCCTTCCTTTTTTTTTTTTTTTTTTTACTCCAGTCATCTCCAAACTTAGAAAGAAGCATTCTGGAAAGGAAGAAAGAAAGAAAGGCTGGAAGAAAACCAAAAGATGGAAGAAATATTTAAGTTCCTGCTCCAATTTTTTATGGTTGCCCTTTGCAATTGTCAGCAAGGTCCCTGTGTTAGGACTTCAGCTTTTGCCCCATATAATATGTCATTCTGCCTCTTGAACCTCCTCCTAATTGAAGGGACATCAAATTGGACTGAACAAGAGAAGAGGCATCAAAAGAATTGAACAGCAGTATGTGCTAGCCAATATCTATCTATAGTTTTTTGAGATTACAGAAATAGGCTTTCTTTACATATATTTTTTTCAGGACATTGTGAGGATGATGTAACTGATGAAAAGAAGACTAAAGATTAAATCTTCATTTACCACCATTTAGAGCTGATAAATGGGAACAAACTAAAGCAGAGGTCCCCAACCTTTTGGGCACCAGGGACCCATTATATGGAGAGAGATTTTTTCCGCGGACCGGAGGGGGCATGGTTTTGTGTGCTGCCTGCATCCCATGGATAGGGCTTTGCTTGTTTGTGCGGCCCCATTGCTGGCATGCTGCAACCTGGTACCGGTTCACGGCCCGGGGGTTGGGGACCCCTGAACTAAAGAACAAAATCTGTCTATGGTTGCATGACCAGTACTAGTTAACAAGGCTTTAATTACTTGAGAAAGGAACTGAAAACAACAAGAAGAAAATATAGAAGGCTGGAAGAAAGTGTGAACTTTCACATAGTGTGAGAACCAGCACAGATATCATGACCCATGTTATGCTCTCTTTTCACCATAACAGCTAGCAATACTTTTTTAAAAAAGCAACAGAAGAAGAAACTTTGGCAATTTTAGAGCTACTCTTTATAAGAACTGCTCAGATTTACATGCTTTTGCTAGAGATAGATAAATGCACATAAAAAGTTCTAGGAAAATGAAGGACAGAGATATCAGTTTATTTTATTTTCCCTTTTTCCAAGGAATGGGGTCTGAAAGGATATTGTTGCTCTAAGACCTGGAGTAAACTAAATTTGGCACTGACTGATGGTTTTTGCACTCTTTTGTTGGTCAAATGGAGACAGAAAGTGCAAGAGAATGCACACACCGATTGGCTCATGTTGTCTCTGTTCTCTGTTTTCCAAGGTCCACAGAAATGAAAATAATCACAAATTTTAAAATGGCTTACAGGGATTGTGGAGCAAAACTGGTGTTATCTGTCAGTGTCTCAGACACAAGTTTTTAGTTGTAAAGGACAATGTAGCATCAGGTAAGTGATTTCTGAGTAATCTGAGGCAATATTCTGCATCCCAATATACAATGTACACAATAGAATTTGAAGATGACTCTTAACATCAAGGATAAGTTTTTTTCAGTTTCATGCCAACAATCACTGGATTGTTCTTTTGTCTCCCTTTCATTCAGCTCAGTCTGAAGTATTCCATGAAGCTAAGATATTGGAGATGAGACAGACTCACTATCATAGAGAATGAGTTTGGCATTGTGTCTGTCTGTCTCTGGATCAAGAAATAGCAGATGAATCTTCTTTCCCTTGTTTCCTCATGTTTATCTCTCTTAACCCCGCCAGCACTAGCCACAAGTACATGTTCTGTTCTGTTCTGTTCCATGTTTTGTAAAATTCTTTATCATCTCTGTACAACCTTGATATCCTGCAAAAGTACAAAGGCTACCAGCCAAGTTCTTTACTTGGCAACTATCTCCTGAACCAATTCCATTTATACCGCTCCCACTGTCTGAAATGTTGTTCTCAGGAGGACAGTTTATCAGAAGCTGTATCACTGAGAATCAGTTACAGGTACCCTTGACTGAATACTATTACAATACTGCTGGCATTTGCTAGGTAAGGAAATTAATGTCCTAAACTAGGTCCACGAATTCACTGTGACGTTTTCACACCCCAGCTATGCTAACTGTTCAGCTGAGACCCCCCCCTTGCTCAGTCTCCTAACAATTCTAGAAGAAAATATGTTGAAAGTCAGCAGAGAAGGTGGAAAAATCAGAAGGTTTGTTCAATATCTGTTTAGATAAGATGCTTTATAAATAATGACATCATTTATCCAGTGACTACTGCATATCTGAAACAATGAGACACATGCAACAGGATAATTAAAATTTGAGATAAGAATTCTGATGAGACGTTGTCTAACATTCTATGATAAAGAAAGTCCAAAGTGAGACAGAGCAAATAGACTCTTGCCCTGGCTTTTCGCTTGAGAAAGAAAAATGGATTGGATGTGCAAGGCAGGACTGTTTTTGCTGCTGAGTCTCTCATTCTGCTGTGTTGTCTTTACAGCTGAATTCAGGAGTGATGTAGGATGGATACCCTCAGCTATCTGCTTATCGCTTCCTCGTGGTCTGTAAAGGAATTGAACTACGTGCGTTGAATATAACTATTTTGTATTTGCGTTATATAATAAACTGTTTTTTATCTAGACATTCTCAGGCAAGTGCACATATTTTTAAACTGGATTTCTTTTGATTTTACCTTTTAATCCCAAGTTGTAAGCCTTCTCTAGGCTCCCAACTACTGATGTCATACCATGCTCATTTCAAAATATTGGCTATGCATTTTTTTTAACTTCATTTTTTAAAAATTTCATTTTAAATTGTGAAATTAACAGATGGAAAGAAAACATATCACGGTGATAATACAATCGAAAAGAATGACAATAAGCTGGAAAAAAGGAAAAAGAGGGGGGGGGAAAGATTTATATAACAAGATCCAACCTCTTTAAATTAAATCTACACCATATCAAAACATAATGCCCCATCCTCTCCTTTCTATGATTTAAAGACATTTCAAAGGTTAATGGAAAACGCATTTCTTGAATCCATTTTAATATTCAAAGTATTATTTATTATTTATTATTTAAATTTATATACCGCCCTATCTCCCTTACGGGACTCAGGGCGGTGAACAGGTAATAATAAAAATCACAGTAAATATTACATAAAAGCCTGCTCTAAAATATAGAACCCCTAACAAAACCCAATCAAAACTTACTTTCTTCCCAGCTACATAAAATAATTCTTAAGCTCATAGCCCTTAACCTTCCATAGCCTTAACTACGGTAGCCTTAACTTACCATAGTTCTTCAGATCTGTGAGCTCCCAGGTCTTACACATACAGTAACAACCCGTGCCACAGTGTGTTTTTAAACTAGGCACCCAAGCACTGAGATGTTTAATAATAGGGCAAGCCTTTCCTCACACCCATTTGAATTTGTTAAGATATTACTATAGAGAAAGGGAGCATTTATTCCAGTCCATCCATGGGATTCTAAGTAATTCCCAAAGAGAATTGCCTTTTCTACTAAAATATTTTTTTAATAAGAAGGAAAGCTCATAATATAAGTTTTGCTTTCAAAATTATTGAGGGTTTGGTGATAGGTGATTTTCATCCAAAATACAACATGGGAGGAATGAATTAATGTTCCTTATCATAGGGAGATTGGGATAAGCTGACCCTAAGATTCTGACAAAAATATTCATTTCCCTGCCCCAAGCTACTATTCAAGATTTTTTTAAAAAAAATACAGATGCAATTACTAATAATACCTTTAATGTCTCAATGAGTTTGGCTCTCAAAATAGTTTCCGTAGGCTGACATTCTGAATTATTTTAACCACATATTCTAATATTTAGTGGAAAACCACTAAAAAGTCCATCTGCAATGCGGGAGTAAGCAGTAGGCTCTTGCTCAAGGTTCCTGGTGGAAGGATAATGAATTTTGCAATAGAATTCTCCTTTATTGCTCTGGGATAATTCTTCTCTATAAAAACCACAGCAAGAATAAGTCTCATCTACAAGAAGCACAATATAGCATGCATTATCTTCTTTGTCTTAAGTTTATGTAATTGGGAATTCTAGCTGTGCACACTACTTGCTATCCTTATGATTATGGCCCTCAACTGATATTAATGAAACCTAATAGAACAATCTAATTTTATGGTTTGGATTGTCTCCCTGAGAAGGTATGGAAAAATGCCATTTTTTTCTTTTTTTCCTTACACAACTCCCCCCCACACCTAAAACAAGAAAAAAAATTACTTCTTCCCCAATTAGCTCTTTCTGCCTCATCGATAAAAATGAGAAGAAACATCAGGGAGGGAGGGAGGGAGGGAGGGAGGGAGGAAGGAAGGAAGGAAGGAAGGAAGGAAGGAAGGAAGGAAGGAAGGAAGGAAGGAAGGAAGGAAGGAAGGAAGGGGAACCTACAAAATAAATATAACACAAAGAAAAAAAAAGTAATACTTACGATCCAAGCTGAAATCATCCACTAAAATTATTTCCTGAATCAAGTTTGCAGGAGTGCGATTTAGAACACTGTAAAAATAATAAAAACATCAGCAATAGCCAAATCCAGCATCAATTTGAAGTAGTCTTCCATATATTGACTGCCCTCAGTTTACCACTAAGATTTTCTTCTCAAAAAAATTATTTCCAAAACACAGTAAGAGTCAAAAATGGCAATACTAGATGAGACAGCATCAATAGCCTAGATTTGTTTTAAATGCCTACCTTTAAATTTATATTTGTCACATTCCTGAAATAAAATCTTAGGTAAACAATTAAGAACTAGCTTTGAGGAAGTCTGGTGTAAACTCTGCCTATGAAAAATTTAGGCAACAAAGAGCTTTTTCTATCCAGAAATCTGTGGGTGGAAATAAAGCCTGTGGAACATGCTCCACTTTATATATATTTTTTGTTTAATAGGGGGAGTTAAATGAAAAAGAGAGAGGGAGATCTGTGAGCACTGGTTGTAAAACAGATGTATGGAAAAGGAAACCCATTTAGTTACCCATGCATTCATCATGCTAAGGTATTACACTGTAACTCAGTGTGAATAGCAGCCTTGGTGTCACATCCCATTTCTTAACTCAAATTGTTGCTTTTTATCACATTACTACCCTTTCCTCCTCCACATTGGGACAAATGACACAACAAAGAACCTGAGTACAATAGTGAGAGATTACAAACAACTAGGCAATAAAGTTAAGAAACTAGGAGCACAAGTACTGTTCTCATCTGTATTCCCAACGAAAGGTCAACACCCAATGAGGGAAAAAAGAATTCTAGAAATAAAACATTGGCTAAAGGGTTGGTGTTGTCAAGAAAACTTTGGTTTCCTGGATCATGGACTGCATTCCTACATGAACAACTCCCAGCTGCCCCTCTTGAAAACGGCAAAATGTACTCGAAAAAGACTGGCCCAACTCATCAGGAGGGCTTTAAACTAAAATTGAAGGGGGAGGGTGACCAATCTTCATAATCTCTAGAACCCAAAACCAATCATAAATCCCAAGAAAACAAATCAAACAATGAGGTATGCAGAGATGAGAAAAAAGAAAAACCCAAACAACAATCAGGAGATGCAGGAAACATGCCCACGAACAGGCATAAAAGTCGTAAATGCTTATATACAAATGCTCAAAGCTTGGGGAACAAACAGGGTGATCTAGAAGCAATAGTACAGGAGGGAAGGCATAACATAGTTGGCATTACAGAAACCTGGTGGGACAAAACCCATAAATGGAATGGACTGATGGATGGATACAAATCATTCAAAAGAAACAGGTCTACAGAAAGAGGAGGGGGAGTTGCACTATATGTAAGAGAACACTACATATCTACAAAAATGCACATGATACAAGATAAAATCTCTCCAGAATGTATATGGGTCAATATAAAAGAGAAAAAAAGTGACATTACCATAGGTGTATATTACAGGCCACCCAACCAATCAGAAGAAATAGATGAACTCTTTGCCAACCAGCTAACTAATGTATGTAGGAAGCATATCACAGTAGTAATGGGAGACTTCAACTACCCAGACATCAGCTGGCAGACACTCTGCAGTGAACAGGAGATCAAACAGATTCCTAACCAACCTAGCCGACAACTTTGTCATCCAAAAGGTGGAGGATGAAACTAGATGTACAGCCATACTGTACTTAATTCTAACTAATAGAGAAGAAATGATAGAGGGAGTTGAAGTTACCAGAACCTTGGGCGAAAGTGACCACGTCATACTGGAATTTAATATAACGAAAACACTAGCAACAGAAAACAATCCAACCAGTGTCTTGAAGTTCAAAAGAGCTGACTTTAACAAACTCAGAGAGAACCTAGGAAAGATCCCATGGATGAAAATCCTAAAGGGGAAAACAACCCAAGAAGCATGGGAAACTCTGAAAAATGTGATCATAAAAGCCCATCCCATCACAATACCAGTGAAAAAGAAAAACAAGAAATTCAAGAAGAAACCAGCATGGCTGCACAAAGATCTCTCTGACAAACTGAAACACAAAAAGGACAAATACAAAAAATGGAAAGAGGGGCACATAACTAAGGCTGATTATCAGCAGACAGCCAGAACATGCAAAGATGAAGTCAGGAAAGCAAAGGATCAGAACGAACAAAGACTTGCAACAGAAATCATAGATAATAAAACATATTAACAACAAGAAAAAAGTCAAGGAAACTGTAGGTTCACTAAAGAGAGAAGATGGCAAGGAAATAACAGGCAACAGGGAGAAAGCAGAGCTGCTTAACTCATACTTTGCATCAGTCTTCACACAAAAAGAAATTATAGCCCAACATACCAAAAAAGACAAATTAGAAACAAAAATTAAAATAAGCAAGAAAATGGTAAGAGAATGCCTATCTGACCTTGATGAATATAAATCACCGGGGCCTGACAGATTACATCCCAGAGTTCTGAAGGAGCTGGCAGATGTTATCTCAGAACCATTGCAGCAATCTTTCAAAATTCCTGGAGCACCAGGGAAGTACCTGAGGATTGGAAAAGGGCTGATGTGGTTCCCATCTTCAAGAAAGGGGGGAAAAAGGACCCAGGAAACCACAGACCAATCAGTTTAGCATCAATACCTGGGAAGATCCCAGAAAAGATAATCAAAAAACAGATCTGCGAACAACTAGAAGCAAACAAAGTTATAACTAATAGCCAGCATGGGTTTGTTAAAAACAGGTCATGCCAAACCAATCTTATTTCATTCTTCAACAAAGTGACTAAACTAATACACCAGCGAAATACTGTGGACGTAGTATACTTAGACTTCAGTAAGGCATTTGATAAAGTAGACCACAACCTACTCCTTGATAAGCTAGAAAAAGATGGAATAGACAACATCACCATCAGATGGATCTGTAGCTGGCTGGCAAACCATACTCAACAAATAGTCCTCAACGGCACTACATCCACATGGAGACAATTAAGCAGTGGGGTACCACAAGGTTCCATCTTAGGTCCAATGACTTAGATGAGGGAATTGAAGGGGAACTCATCAAATTTGCAGATGACACCAAACTGGCAGGAGTAGCCAACACCCCAGAAGACCAACTCAGGATCCAAAAAGATCTTGACAAACTTGAACAATGGGCCCTATCCAATAAAATGAGTTTCAATGTGGAGAAAAACAAAGTTTTATATTTAGGTAGAAAAAATCAAAGGTACAAGTACAGATTGGGCAAGACCTGGCTTAAAAACAGTAACTGTGAGAGGGACCTTGGATTCCTAGTGGACGATCACTTAACCATGAACCATCAATGTACAGCAGCAGCCAAAAAAACTAATACAATCCTGGGTTGTATAAACAGAGGCATAGAATCAAGATCACATGAGGTATTAGTACCGCTTTATAAAATCCTAGTAAGACCACGCCTGGAATACTGCAGCCAATTTTGGTCACCATATCACAAAAAAGATGTTGAGAATTTGGAAAAAAATCAGAGAAGAGCAACTAAGATTATCAAAGACCTGGAGACTAAAACATATGAAGAATGGTTGCAGGACTTGGGTCTGGCTAGTCTAAAGAAAAGAAAAAATAGGGGAGACATGATAGCAGTATTCCAGAATTTGAGGGGCTGCCACAAAGAAGAGGGGATCACATTATTCACCAAAGCACCAAAGGGCAGGACAAGAAACAATGGTTGATCAAAGAGAAAAGCAACCTGGAATTAAGGAGAAACTTCCTGACAGTGAGGACAATTAACCAGTGGAATAGCTTGCCCCCAGAAATTGTGGGCGCTCCATCACTGGAGATTTTTAAGGCTAGACAGTCACTTGTCTGAGATGGTATACATTCTTCTGCTTGAGCAGGGGCTGGACTAGAAGACCTCCAAGGTCCCTTCCAGCTCTATTCTATTCTATTCTATTCTATTCTATTCTATTCTATTCTATTCTATTCTATTCTATTCTATTCTATTCCAGTAACTTGTACCCTATCTTGATTATTTTCAATAGGCTTGCATGCTAGTTAAGAATTTTCTGAGGTTAAAAGAATACAAAGTTGGCTAGATTTATCTATACTGCTACTTATTTTATTCCATACTCCACGAACACAAGAGTTATAGTCGATCCGAAGGCATCCACCAGAAAGGTAATTTTAAAAAAATCCAAATGGACCCCCTGATGGTGTGACCAAAGCCTTGCCTTTGCTATGTGCACTGCAAGTATTACAAAGATTTAAAAAGAAGCAGGGCTTCTATTGCATGGCCATCTCTGCCATCTTGACTTTTTTTAATCTCCCACTGAGAAGAATTGTAAAACATTATTGAAAAGAACCAAATTGGAGAAACTCTAAAGATACTCTAGCATCTTTTGTTTTGGTAATAAATAACCCTTTGTGCAATCCTTACAAACTTCATCTTGTTTGTCTATGCCCTGATATTGTCTCCTTTATCTACATAGTACTAAAACTCTCATTGTCGTGACCTTTAATTGGGTGAAATGGTGCATCATGGGACAACAACCAAGGTACCTCAAATGGGCTTATTTACAAAATGGGTTCAAAATCCAGGACTCATGATTCCTGAAGGAATGAAATTTGGGAATATCACATTCCCCTGCAACCCCCAGGCATTCTTCTTGACCTGTGCCACCTCCCCACAGACTATTTGGTCTGTGCAGCTTTTCTTACACAACTCCATGACAAACACACACCCTGCTTGACCTGTGCTGCCTCACTGTGCACCCTGCTCAACCTGTGTGGCCCACCTGTGTGCCCTCCCTTACACACATATCATCTCTGATTGCACACCCATACATATTTCCCAGCCACATGACACCTCTCTCTCTCACACCCACCCACCCACAATTCCTGACTTGTAGCCACACATACCTCCTTAATCCTTCCCTTACCCAGCAGCAGCCACTTACTTTACCTGGCATTGGACTTGCAATTTCCTGCTGGCTTTCCCATTGACTTTCTTCCTACAAGCTTCTCATATGCAAAGAAAATGGGAAAGTCAGCAAGAATTCAAAAGAGGAGGGGGGGAAAGGAAAGGAAAGGAAAGGGAAAGGA